ATGTTTTATTAGTATTATTAAAACATAATACTATGTTTTAATATTTGATTAAAATGCAGTAATATAAAATATAATGTAGTATAGCTAGAATACCTTTGATCAAACTGCCAGTTAGGTGACACATGCAACGAGACTTGGACTTGAGGTCAAGAGACTTGACTTGGATTTTTGGTCAAAGACTTGGACTTGGAGCCAAAGACTTGAGACTTGACTTGGACTTGCCTTGCACACATCTCTGGTGTGACGTGGGTTCTAATGAACCAAACGGRCACACCAGTACTACCTTGTGAATTAGTTTTTCAGGCAGAACCACTGAGATGGAACTACGCTGCTCCATGGACTACAGGACACAAACACAGATCCTCCAATCAAATATTGGAAGATAAAACTTTTCATTTACCATCTGAGGGACGGGCATTGGTGCAGGTGCCATGGGATGGGTTGTGTGAGTCCAGTTGGTGTTGGTACACATGGTTTTCGACTGCCAACCGCTTCCTCCTGTTGGCTTCTTCTCTACCAGATGGGTCCACTGAAGCTCCGGCCTAACATGCACAAACACAGGTGTAAAACAGGTGTGCACATACTGTAATGCAAAATCTTCCTTCTATTACTTGTGGCTCAGTTTGTTTTTCTTAACAAGATTTGCTCACTTTTTAGCTGGAATACCTCCAAACTGCAGGTCTGAGAGAACAAATAAAAAATAAAAATGAAGAAAACATCAGTGGAGAATAAAAAGAGAACAATAATAGGTCAAATCTGGGATATGGCTAATTATTTGGAGAGCAGCGTGCGGTGTACTCACTGCCAACCAGATTAGCTAATGAAGAGTCCAAATCATTGGGCAGCATTTTCCCAGAGTGCAAAGGAGCTCCTGGACTGTGAATGTGAGTAGGTGGAGATGGCTTTAGCAGGTCACCTGACGTCAAACAGTAACCATGGAAATRTGAAAGGAGAGGGAAAATGAGTCAAGAATATGAAGAGACTGCCCATCAGCACATCCAGCTCTCAGTGTGTGCCTGCCTGAAAGCAAGTGGCATGCTTTGTGTGTGTGTTTGCCAGCCTACCTCCCCAGGCATTGTTATTGTTGTGCACAGTGTGTGTGGTCTGGATGGGGGTGAAGGTGGGCTGCAGGGTAAACAGCTCACTGGTCAGGTTTGGCACACTAGGGAAGACAGAGAATCAGAATTTGTAAATTATGTCTTTAATGGTAGCCAACCCATGTTCTATTTTTTTCTTTTTCTCAGTAAAGTATTCAGGTAGCAGAATAAAATCACAACATGTTGAAAGAATCGTTTGGTGTTCACCAGTGGTGGGCACCAGTCCGCTAAAGCGCAAATCTGCTAATCGCGGACCTAAATATTTTGTTTGCGCTTTAGCGGTATACTAATTTTTCTAGTTCATAAGTGGATTTGCGCTTTCTAAAATTAAAATGCAGTACTGCTAATAACTAATTATCTACCAGTCATCATTATCTTGAACAGCAGAAGGTATGACTGTCAATGAATCACAACACACATGACCTATCCAACAGCACCCCTCCCAGATAAACACAGTTGTTGGAAACGTTGCTGACAGTTTTTCTCTATCATGGTTCATTTCCCACAATGCTTTGTGTCTGCTTACGTAGCAGGAAGG